GCTAATAACTCATCAAACTTGAAAGGAATACTAAAATGGACATGATTTGGAACGTTTCAATATGTGTTACAGCTTTAGTTATTGTACTAATCAGTAAGTGGTGGTACCGATGGTCAAACCCCAAGTGCAATGGCAAGTTACCTCCGGGATCAATGGGTCTTCCGATCATCGGAGAGACACTAGACTTCTTTAAATCTTATGGATTCAACGAGACCTCTCCCTTTATCAACAAGAGGATGTCCAGGTAAAATATTAAACCCTTAACTATATATAACTTTTATTGCAAATATATACATGTTTGTAATCTTGAGAACGTTTTAGGTACGGGCCAATATTTCGGACAAACGTTTTTGGATCCAACACAGTGGTAGTGACAGATCCTGATGTAATGATGGAGGTTTTTCGACAAGAGAACACGGCTTTCGTGTTTAGCCTTCCGGATGCATTTGCCAAAGTGTTAGGAAGAGATGATGCGATAGCCAATCATGGGAAGCCTCACAAGCATTTCAAACAAATCACTCTCAACTTTTTTGGCCCTGATGGTTTGAAGAAGAAGTTGTTAGGAAACATGGACCGAGGAACCTATGAGGGTCTTAAATCAAAGGCTAGCTCGGGGAGCTTCGATATTAAGGAGGCAGCTGAAAGGGTATGTACATAAGTTCCTTTGTTATTATTATTTTATGTTTTTAATTTTGTATTCATGATAAATTAAAATTATTTATTGTTGCTATGTTTGTAGTTGATAGTAAAGCACTTGATTCCCAAGTTGATAAGTAACCTCACAGCAGAGGCTGCAGAGAATCTGTTAAACATCTTCATGGCCTACAATCTTGATTGGTATAAGTCATTCTTTAGTCTTTCAACCTGGAAATCGTTATACGGATCCTTTACAGTAAGTAATTTATTCTTTAGTCATTTGTTAAAAGATCTTTTATAGTAAAACTTTAATAAAAATTGATAACATTAGAATCATGATACTTTCTTAATTTATAAAGTTTTTATAAATATTAGTTGGTTTGCAAAAATAATTTAGGGTCGATAAAATATAGGTGGTGCATATCCTATACTATTAAAGCGGAAGTACCACAACATATTTAACCAAGTTTTTCAACATACCTACGAAAACTTTTCATTGAGTTAAATTTAAAAACCAAATCAAACATATGATTTAAGGGTAGTCTACGGATACCTAATCGGGTCTCAAGAATTAATTAGGTCTTTAATTACGCAAATAATTCATAACCATTTAAACTGATAGCATATATTTAAGGCGGGATAATAAGGGGTAAATCCACAAAATGCAATAGTTTATTACAAATTGTGTGAAAACATAGAATGAGTCTTAAACTGAAACAGAGGTAGCTACAATTAAAACTAATTCATCAACTATGGGATTTTAACCCAAAAAAAAAAACTCATCAACTATTGGATTTTATGCTATTCATACAACTAAAACTCAATTTAAGATACTAATCAATTAACTAATACAAAAATATGGGCATTTGCCAGAACACGGGTTAGTAACTAGTATAATATATGAGCTATGGTTTTAAACCCGAATGAGATTGTGAACTGGATTACTTTCCGGGTCGACCACGGTGTTATGATATATAAATAAAAATAATTATATCATATTTAGAAAATATGAAGTCTAACAATAATAATAAAGGGATCAAATTTGTAACAGTCTATGAAAAAAAAATTACACAAAATGTCTAAACATTGTCTCTATCAACTGCATCCAGGCAAGTAGAAACGCAATGAAGGTGATAACTAAAGTTGTCTTATCAAGGAAAGAATCGGGAGTAAAGCATGATGACATCGTCAACACGATAATAGAAGATGAAGTTTTAGATGACAAATATGTTATCTTCCAAACCTATATTATTCCTGTGGCTGCTAAAGATACTACTTCTTTGATGATCTCCATGGCAGTAAAATACATTACAAGTAACCCTAAAGTTCTCTTAGAGTTGAAGGTTATATATATACATAGCTAACTACTTTTTCACTTGTTAAAAGAAGACAAATTAAAGAAGCATAGATTTGACAATATATGCTTCTAATATGGCAGAGAGAACATGATGCTATCCTTCAAAACAGAGTTGATAAGAACTCTGGAGTGACTTGGGAAGAGTACAGAAACAACATGACTTTCACCAGCATGGTAAATTTTAGATATACATCAGTAATTTTCAATTATAATATATGATAAATATTTAAAACTAAGAATAAATATGTTGCAATGCAGGTGATTAATGAGACTCTTAGACTAGTAAATCTGGCTCCTGTAATGTTTAGGAAAACTTTAATAGATGTTGAAATTAAAGGTGAGTATTACTTTTAAAACTTGGCTACTAATTCAAACATATTCCCAAAATAGTTTTCTAAATTGAATTTTTTGCGGTGCGAAAACTGGTAACAGGATATACGATTCCAAAGGGTTGGATGGTGTTTGTTGCAACTTCACTGAGGCAATATGATCCTGCGGTATATGAGAACCCTCTCGAGTTTAATCCTTGGAGATGGGAGGTATTTACTAATTCTTGTCTATGTAAAGCATTTTCAATATCTAAAAACAAAAACATATCATCTAAAGAATGTAAAACATTTGATGAAAAATGTGAAACAGGGCCAAAAGCTGGTTAATTTTTCCAAGTCGTTCATGGTATTTGGAGGTGGGGTGAGAATGTGTCCTGGTGCAGAATTTGCAAGGCTTCAGATTGCACTTTTTCTTCACCATCTTGTCACTAACTACGATTTCTCAATGGTTCAAGACTACGAGGCTACTCGTACACCACTAGTTTCTTTTCCCAATGGCATGCACATGAACATCTCTCCCATCAACTGATTCGGAGATCTTAATGCTATCTATATTTAAGTAGTCATGATACTTTTAAGTTTCATTTTCACATTGAGTATAACTCAATCTCTATCCAAAACTAATCAAGATTTGTATAAAGTTAAATGGAAGTGCACACGTGAAATAAATATGTACTTTTATTTATTCGACCTATTCCCATAAATAATTTTCATTGAATAGATTACTTCAAAAAAATATAAATATATACTTCCGTTTAAGAAATGTACATATGTATATACAATTTGGGTAAACATGTCCTATTTGAAAATTGTATTGTCTCTTTGCATGACACAAGGTGTGTAGACTTTTCGAGTCTGTGATTATAGATTATATATGGGCTCAACCAAACTTTCAGATAGTTTCACAATTTAGTGATGTCAAATGGATTTCACATCAATATTTGTGTAAAATCTACATTACTTAATTACTTCTCTAGGGTAAATTATGTTGAGATTTAAAATTTTACTTAAGTATGACTGCAAAAAGTAAAACTGATCATAATATTCACTTGACAAATAAATTGGGTAAACTCTCATATACCTAACCTGATCGAAGTAGGCAATCAATGTTTTTACTTGATAGATAAGGTATTTAAGGAAAAGAAACATTTTAAAAAGCTAGAGTTTGAACTATTTGCGGTATGCTAGAAATTATGGGTTTCTCTATGGTAAATTAAATGGAAATTTTTCTAGACGTTATTCTAGTTTTTAGATTTGTAAACAGGCAATCTTTTTCGGGCAATGGTGCCAAAGCTTGATGTGTGTTAATCTTTTACCTCCAACAGGACACACCAATTTATAGTGAATCGGTCGTAGCCAAAGTCGGCCCAAAGGCTAAGCCCATGAAACATATGCTTGTGCACCTTTATTTCTTAAAACATTTCCGATCCTAAATTTTCAAAAGTCTCTTTAATCTAGTGGTGTAAACCTTGCTACGAGGGTAAAAGTTCTTCTCTTAGAAGTGGCCAATATTTTTTATTTGCTTGTAGCTTTCCATAGGATGAAGACGGCTCTAATCGTAGTATTGAATATTTTTAATACGCAGTTGTTTGGTTTAGTGTCAGGAACGATTGTAAGTATCAATGAGACAACGTTTGGCATTTAGGGGATCACATATTCGAGGCTAACCAGCTAAAGTCCTTATACTAAACTTAAGCAGGCAACGCGACACATAGGTCAAAGAATCAAAAACAGTTTCCATTATCGTCCATGAAGTTCCATAAATATCACTCATCTAAACTACGTTCCATAACATTATTCTATGCATAACAATATTCTATATATACAACTCCAATAATTGGAGTACTTGATAATAGGTTAGTCTAGTCCTAGACGTTCAGATATTCGGTTTGGTTTCGATTCGATATATTTCGGTTTTAGATACTATCGGATCTTGTCATTAAATTTTTAAAATTTTTATATAGGTCGGTTTCGGTTCGGCATATTCAGTTCGGTTTTTTTTACCCAATCATATTTGACCCAATATCTTCATCAAATAAAACACGTATATATGGTTGGTTGTTATATATGATCATATTTGACCCAAAAATCTTCATCAAATACAAAATCTTCATCTCAAATAATTGGGGTACTTGTTATAGTTTTAGACGTTTAGTTGTACAATTATGGCCTTATTTTTATATAATGGAAGTATATATGGTTGGTAAATAATTTAAAATTTAAATGTAAAAAAATATCGAGAAGCAAACCCATCGCTTTGTTGAAAGATATATTACCGACGTTATTCACGTGTTTTCTTGTAATATAATTCATCATCTTCAATTATTATTCTTAAAAAATCATTAATCACATTACTAACCTATCTTTTTCGGTTTATTTAATTTTGATACCATGTTACTAACATATCTTTTTCAACTCGATTCCACAAACGCAAATCTCTCATCCACATGAAAAATTCATGGTTCTGATCACAATATATTGGTTCTAGCAAAATTAGGTGATGCATATTAAACACATGTATAGATATGTTAGGTTGAAGTCAATAGCTTAGAAGCAAACAAAGCATTTAAGTCCCTCATTGTTGACTTTAAACATCTTTGGTGGTCCATGCAATCTAAATCATGTGATACAAGCAATCTCATTTTTTATTTAAATTATTTTATTATATTATTAAAAAATTTCAAAGGAAAAGTCACATCTTATTCAGAACATTTTGGAAAATATATTTTAAAAAGTTACAATAACAAGAAGATAAGAAATAGACATCTTTGGTCACTATGACTCAAAGATTTAGATTAGTACACTTGGATTTGGAGAGGCAAAGGCAAGTAGTTCTGTGTTCTGTTCGAACAATAACATTTCATCTTCAGCTAGTGTCACCCATGCTTCGACTCCTTGTCCGTCCTTAGAGTCGACCAACACGGTCACATTGTCTAGGATGGGAGAGACATTACCAGTGACCCAAACAGGAGATCCCCAACCGAAGCAAGCCTTATAAAGAGCAACCCTGCACCAGCTAGATACAACGTGTGTGTCATAAACCTCATAGCTGAACTTGGTTTCCGCCATTGCCCCAAGCAATTTCAAACCTATAGTCATTGATGCTGACCCTTCCTCATATTGAACCAAATGAGATACCTCCTCGGATCTTTTTTTTAGTTCCTTGACAATTTGTACAGTCTCCAAGTTGTCTTTCCCATTCAAGGTTAGGGTGGAGAACAAGGGGTTACCGATTAGGTTTTCCGACAAAACGGCGGGTATCTTGGGACGCAAGTTATTCGCTTGGTACAGAGCTTTCTCACGGGTTGTGTCTGTTGATGAAGCCACAACACATTTCCATATAAGTGAAGTCAAACTCTGAACCCGAGTGGGTCGAGGGACAGCGTCACTAGCGACTTTGTTCCTTAGCTCTTCGATCTTAGATGCTACGAACACAAATCTCTTTGTGATACTTGTTCTCTTACCTAGTTGATCCTCCCCTGGAACTTGAATGGCCCCGGACGCTGGTGGGTAAATCTTTGTGGAACCAAACTCAGGACTGACCACCGAGTCGCCCTCTCCTCGAGCTGTAGCAGCCCAAGCTTGGATAAAGTTTGAGATAGAGACTGCATCGCCGAGCTTATGACTCATGCAGACTCCGATGGCCATGCCACCACACTTGAAGTAGGTTGCTTGCACAAGAAGCAATGGCCATGTGGGAATGGGCTCTGCAGCATTTACAGGAAGCAGTTGTTGGAGAGATTTGGTGTCTGGGGATCTCAGAAAGTCCGAGAGAAGGCAGTCATCGACGCGTGAGTCCACAAAGACAGCTCCTTCATCGGTACTGTCGATGGTGACACCATTGACTCTTCCGGCGAAAGGGTGGAACTTTGTCAAGGTCTCGGACAGGGAAGTTTTGAGAGTTTGGGAAGTTTGTTCTTGAGAGATCAAATCATCTTTAGTGTAGAAAAGAAATGCAACGGCGTAAACCTGAGGGATTAGTTGATCCATAATAGAGAGTTGAAGAGTTGGGACATCATTGGAAGAAGGCTTTGATGGCTTAATGATTTCTTTGCCAATGGTTTCAACCTTCACTGTCTCCATCGTTTGATATTTTTCTTTCCCTTTCTTTTGTTTTGTTTTGGTCGTCTCCTTTTTCGACGAAGAAATGTTTCTTATATAGATTTTGCAGTTTTGGTTGGAAAACGAGAGTTTGTAGTTTTCGTAGAAAGTCGAGATATTTGTTATTTTGATTGAAACTATTATCTTAAGAGTTTTAGAAAAATAAAATAAAAAATAACAATAATCTACAACTTATAATTTGTAATAGCATTTGGTGCATCCAAAATTTTGATACAACTTTTTTGGATGTATTTTATTTTGTAAACATTTATTGCATCTAAACGAATTTCTTTTAATTTGAAAGTTGATAAATACATGTATAAATTGCGTTTATTATTAATACATGTCATGATCTTGTTTTATATAATAAGATCATAACAACATTAAAAATTCCCCACGTTAATTTACAGAGGAATATTTTATTATTATTAATATTTAGTCAACAAGATACTACCTTACCTACACAAAATAATTTAATTAGCCATGTGACAGACTGACAGTGACAACTAACCTTGTGATGGATTTGTTACAGTTCTCATTTATTTTTATATTATTTTATAATTTAATAAATTTTAAGAAATATAATTTTATTAGAATATGTCTTGGTAATGTTAAAAAAATAATAACCGGACTATTTTTCAGGTAAACGGGTTATTGGGCTATTTTTCGGGTAACTGAGTTAATGGGCTAACCAAGTTATTGGGCTAACCAAATTCGACCACGGGTCAATTAATTAAAGTTTATCGATGATTTTATATAAATTATACAGTTTTGTAAACATAAAAATAAAAATAATCATACCAAATTTAACAAAATATAAAAATTAATAGTAATAGTAAAGAGATAAAAAATTATATACATATAAAACAAAAAGAACACTAATAAATATCACAAATTTATAACAACTAATTTAAGTGTGTTTGTGTACCGTTTAATACGGAATAAAAATTTATAACTTCCAAAAATAACTTAAATATGTTATATTTTACTTCCAAAATCTAATAATTTTTGTAAATCGTAACCTGACCGGTTCAACCGGTTCATTGGATCACTGCTTAATGGAGAGTTTTTGTGTAGGAATAAAAAACTTAAAAATACTCTAAACCAGCGTAGCAATTAAGCGTACTTTGAATGAAGCAAACAAGATATATAGAGACCACATATATATAACATCAAGATATGGATCAGATTTAACTAAAACAAATTATTATCTCAAAGAAACAAAACGGGAAAAAAAAGAAAAGAGTTACAGAAATCTCGAATGCTACTATGTAATTATGTTTTGAGAAGTTCTTACTAATAATCTTTTTATGATACCCTTTTGCAAAACTACTATCTTCTTTTTTCCTTTTTATTTTTTCCCTCTCTTAAATTTTAATGGTAATTTTACCCATAATTGAAAGAATATTCCTTTCTTTGAACGGAATATTTCTTTCAAAAATTTCCCTGCTAAAAACTTTCCCGCCGACAAAATTTTTCCCGACAAAACTTTCCCACCAAAAAAATATCCGCATAAATTTTCCAGCAAAAAAAAAAGTTTTACAAAAAAGGGTCTTTTAAAGGATTTACAAAGGTTTTAAAAGGGATTAAACAAGAGTTTTTAAATAGTTTTAAAAAGATTTCTAATGGTTTTTAAAGGATTATAGAAGCTTACAAAGTTTCTGAATGTCTTTGAAAGTCTTTATAAGTTTATAACAGTTTTTAAATGATTTACGAGGATTTTTAAAAGAATTTCAAATGGTTTTTAAAAATTTACAAGGATTTTTAAAAGATTTTTAAAGGGATTTACAAGTGTTTTTAAAGGCATTTACAAGGATTTAAAAATGGTTTTAAAAGGATTTACAAGGATTTACAAGGATTTTAAAGATATTTACAAATATTTAAAAATAGTTTTAGAGGATTTGCAAAGGGTTTTAAAGGGTTTTGGAAGTTTACAAAGGTTTTTAAAGGGTTTACAAATCTTTAAAGGTATTACAAGGACTTTAAAATGGTTATTTAAGGATTTACAAAGATTTTTAAAGGGTTTAAGAAGTTTACAAAAAAGTTTATTGAAGGATTTACCACGTTTATAAGGCAAGTGTTTATAAATGTTATCAAATGATTTACAAAGGTTTTCAATGGTTTACTATAGTTTTGAAAGGTTTTGGATGACTTTTAAAAGATTTACAAGGGGGTTTAGAGGATTTTTAAGGGTTTAAAAAGATATTTACATGGTTTTTAAGGAATTGCGGAAATATTTTGTATGAAATTTTCAGCGGCAATTTTTTTGCGGGAAAAGTTGGCGAGAAATTTTTCAGAAGCAATATTTTTTTGTTGAAAGAATATTCCTTTCTTCATCATGAGATATACTAAAGTAAGGTAATTTAGTCATTTTTACATTGAAGTGAGTATTTTTGAAAATAGACACGTAGAGATGGTATTTGTAGAAAAAATGTATCATAAAAAGTTTATTATTGCATATCCCCTTGTGTTTTTACAAAGTATTAGGGAAAAAAGTTACAGAAATCCAACAAAAGAAAAAATATAGTTACAATCACAGATATTGAACAAGCTTTGGAAAAAAGTAGGAAGATAGTCTGATATTACAAGAATCTGGTCCCACTGAAAAAAAGAAAAAAATGAAAAAATGAAAAACTTACAATAAAAATTAATTAAATCGTTAAATGACTATGGAATCTTACAAAAAAATTGAGCTTTAGAACTTTTAAAAAGCAAACTCCAATACATTTTTCGCATATCAGGAAATTCAAGAGAATGAAGCAACAAAAATGATAACAAGGTTTTATAATTTCTTATTGCAGTTCACATGACGCGACTTGAAAGAGATATGACTATTCTTATATACTTTACGGTAATAGATTACACATTTCATGCGTCAAAAAACAATTAACAAAAAAAAATACAAGTAAAAAAAATTACAAACGACAATAAACAAACATACGAAGGATAGAAAATAATCTAAAAATTTAACAAAAATTATAACTAAATATTCATGCATAAATAAAAATTAACGAAAAAAAGTTACAAACCACCAAAAAAATAACAAATATAGAAAATAACAATAAAAAATAGACCGGAGGTAGCCTGGATTACGACCCGCAAACAATTGAATTATGACTTCTCTTTTAATCAATTTTCTTTGTGTACTTATGATTACAAAATGTTACATTTCAACTTAATATATTTCCCACGCCTTGCATCTAATATTTTTATCAAATATCAATTCATATCGTGGAAGCCTTTTTTTTTTTTTTTTAGTTGGACCTCACTTGAATAATATTACCCTCTTAATTGGGCTGGGCCGACACATATAATTGATATCCAGAAGTAAAAGGAAATCGGAAAAATCAAAACGTTGCCGAAAAAGAAGCTCTGAACCTATTGACATTGCAGATGTAGATAATCACCACGACACGCCGCAGATGGCTCCCGATCCTAGCAAATCATCTACATCAGATCAAACCCTTCATTTCTAGGTAAGACAAAACTCTGATAACCGATCTAATCCTCTTCAAACCGGTCTGGAGGAAGTAAGTCATGGGGATGGTTAAGGTCGAAGGTTCAATCGAAAGCTTACCCACACGAGATACACGATCTTCCGTTAACCTCACAGAAAAATCAGTAAAACCCACCTTCCTCACTTTCAACTTCCGCCGTAGGCGCGAGACCAACACGGCGACTAAGCCACAAGAGGCAACCGTCACAACCTACCGGCATCTTCAAACCCAAGGAGACGCAGAGGAGCTCTCCTACTGACATGCCGGGACCTCATCTACTTCGAAGGGTGGACACCACACCACTACCGACGAAGAAGAAGACTAGACCACCGCTAGATTCAAAAAGCAAGTGACGGGAATGGAAAACTAAGGTCGCCGAACAAATCTAGATTTACTTGTTTAGAACAGTAGAAGGAGAGAGTAGAGAGGAACAGGGAACGATTGTCCTTTTTTCATTTTCGTGGAAGCTTATGATCTTATGGATAAAACTAGAAATCATTGGAAGAGGCCCGATCCATATTAGGGTATCAAAATTTTGAAGACTTTTTTTTTAATGTGGGTTTTTATATAAAACCAAAACTTAAACGTTAGAGCTAAGAAAAATAATATGTGAGAATTTGATTTTCTTACGAGAAGTTAATTGTTAGTTCTGTTTTTGAACTTTTGTTTGTTTTTTCCCCTATTATCTTTGTCGAATTAGTAAAAGAAAAGTTGCAAATGCAATTAAAATCGATTAATCTTTAACATTGTTAAACTATGAGACAAAATCTTTCATCAAACCTAACTTTTAGGCTTTGATTTGTGTTGAAAATTGTCAAAGTATTAAACATAAAGTTTTGTATATAAATTTTGTGTTGCTATTAGTAATGATTTAGTTTTATAGTATATAAAAGATACATTTTTAAGTTTAGCGTAAACACTCGTAAATACCAGACTAACACATCTTAGGATATAAAAAACGCAAAAACGCGAGTAATTTATCGAATCTCCGCGAATAACAAATTATATGTTTTCTTTTATTCGTTGAGATCTCTCAACATTAACCAAAAATAAGGCAAATAGACTAAAGAAAAACTATTTTTGGCTCCCATCTTATGAAATGAGTAACTTAAGAATTAAGATGGTGCCTTGTGAATTCTTCTTGGAAATTCGTTTTATTCAACGACCTCGTGAGCCTAAAATAATAATCTAGGCGGATTGGTCTACTATCTTGGAATGTTGGGTGTGTAAAGGCCCAATAGAACATACAAGATAAAGCCCATAAATTTAGGTCAAGCCCAAATTATCTACAAAACATAAGTATTAGGGTTTTACTTGTGAGTATTTTTTATATATAACCTTCTGTAATCAAAAGCTTATCATAACGACAACACAAACACTTGCTTCCGCCGTTTCTGTCTTTCTCTGTTATGTGTTTTTCTTTATAGTTCTCTGTTTATTTCGTTTTCTTGATTTTGAGTATCATCAAAAAGGCTTATGAATGATATTGCACAAGTACTGGGACATCCCTGTAATAAAGATTGGGGAATCTGTCTAATAATTTTCTGTGCATATATTAACATTAGGGATCCGCTTTGCAGCTTATGACTTGACCCGATTCAATTAGGGTTCTTGTTCTTGTCTCTGTTGCCAGTATTCTCCTGAAATTTTTTGCTTTTGTCCCTCTGAAGCCTTATTCGTGTTTCTTTGTTTTAGCTTAAAGTTTTATTTCTTAGTTGAAAGAACCTTGAAACTTTGTCTTGATAGTTTTGTCTTTGGTTCTTGATTTATATAGGACGTAAGTAACAAGTAACCTTTTTAGGGTTTTCTTTGCTTGAGTACCTAAATATCTATGCTCCTAAGATGGTGTAGCTGTGAAATTCTTTTTACGAAAAAAATCAAGTAAGTGTTCAGTAGGATTATCTGATGTTCCTTGATGTGTAAGTTTCTTCCTAAAATGTGTTAATTTGAATCAATAATATCCGTAGGGTTCCTGCATCAATAGCTCTTAAACTACTTAGGAAGTGAGACATGTGAGATGTGATTGCACAAGAGTCTTGGAGAAGACCTTTTTCACCGTAATATTGCTATGAGGATTTCAAAGATGATAGGATGATAATAGCAGAAGAAACTAGAAATTTATGTGTGGATGAGGAGAGCAAAGACAAGAGCATTTAACCAAGTGGTATCATTGTGAGAAATAGCTTTTTGGTAGTTCGAAAAGCTTGTGTGTGCCAAATTACTTGGAACTCATACAATTTACTTACCACTCACTACCAAACCTTAGAAACTTAGCTTCATTAGTTCTATCACTATGTCAGAAAAAGCTTTCTTTGCTTCTTGATTGTATTAGACGTAAGTAACAACTAACAAGGACCTTAGAAGGTCTTTTAGGAGAGTAAACCAGAATAAACTAGAAATTTATGTGTGAGGAGAGTAAAGAGAAAAGACAAGAGCTTTGAACTGAGTAGTACTTGATCTTGGAATTGTGATGAGAAATATGTTGGAATCTTTGGTTTGAAAAGTGTTTTTGGCAGTTCACAAAGCTGGTGTATGCAATATCTCTTGGAACTCAAACAAAGTACTCACCACAAAACCTTTCTCTTATGTAAGAGATCTCTCTGGTTTCATCTCTCAAGTAAAAGTGAAGATGATGATCACTTAGTCGAAATCATGTTAAACAAATATCAAGTAAACATTGTTACATTGCAAGACTATCATTATTGATAGAAACACTAAACAACTTTTTGGTTTTTTTAACTAATCTAATCTTTAAAACAATAACATGTAAGAGAGTAGATTTCAACTACTGTACAATGGTTCTTTTTTTTACAAAATGTTACAAGAATCTTTCAATATTCACATTTGTATATCTTAAGAGTCTTTCAAAATCAAGAATCTAAAGCAAACACATAACAAATATATTGTTAAACCCTATACCCCCCCTAATGATTTGTTTCCCATACTCCAATTTTTAATGTTCCAATTTCCCAAATTCAGAAATTCCAAACACAATCAAGATTCACCGGACCACTCGAATAAGGAGTATGACCATGCCAAGAACTCGCGGTTAGTCCACTCTCCGATGAACCGGAACTCTGAAGATTCTTCTTGAATTGTGTTTCTTCATTGTCAAGCAACATCTTCAGTATAGAAGAATCTTCTTGCAGTAACAGAGGATCAGACACAAGACTTTTGTCGTCATATGTTTGGTCGGAGAAACAGGTCACGTGAGAAAACAAAGACAAAGAGTCTTCTCTGTTCTTAAGATATAGAGAAGAATCCATCAACGGAGGTAAACCAACCGGTTCAAATTTGTTAACCCCTGAACCGAACATTAAACCCGATATATGCATCTTTGTACCATCAGCCCGTTTATGAAACACACGACTTATAACACATTCGTTCTGTATTCACAAACAACACAAATGTAAAAACCTCATAAATCAAAATATACATATCAGTCCTTAACAAAAATTAACACAACTATGATATGATATGTATTACCTTAGCGGTTTTAGGGAGATCATCGATGGCGAATTCGCCTTCTAATCGATACTCATGCATAACCCAATTGGTTTTAACTCCTTTAGGAGCTCTTCCTTTGTAAAAAACCAAAGTTTTCTTCATACCAACTAAAGTTTTCCCTTTGAAGATCTCTTTATCTTTACCAGTTGCTTTCCAATAACCGGATTTTGTAGCCCGGTTCGTCCTTGAACCGGTCGGGTATTTCCGGTCTTTTACGCAGAAGAAGTACCACTCTTTCTCCCCAATCTTAGCCATCCCTAAAAGATAAACAGAGTAATTAGAAGTTATAATAAAAGAAAAAAACAGAGAAATCTTTAGAAACCAAGAAAATAAATAACTTACATGGCAAGTCCCAAGGCTCGACCTTGTTAAGATCAACTTCACCAATGGCTAAAGAAGAGAAGAAAGAGTTTAGAACCTTTGGTCTTAGATAGTGAGTTATGAGTTCTTCATCTGTTGGGTGAAATCTAAAACCAGGTGGCAAATCAATCTTGTCTGAATCTTCTTCTACTATCTCCCCAATTCTTGATACCTTGTAATCCATTTTTTTTTTTTGTAAGAGAGAATAAAAATGGTTTGAGAAGCCAAGCTCTTATACTAGTTTGTATCATATGAAGAAGAACACAATATTATTCACCAATAATTTGGTAACTGTTTTGGTATCATTCTTTTATAAAACTATTTAAATCTCTATTATCTAAAGTTATTTAATAATATCTCAGTTTATATAATTTATACAAATATGATGTAGACATGGACCAACCATAACATAACATCATTCCAAAAAATATATTATAATGGTTTAATGCTATATTTAGCTACTATTATGAAGACGCGTAGTTCAATAGGCAACTTAAGATGTTAATTTTTTTGAAGATATTTTTTCTTATTTTATTAAAAAAATAATTATATCTTTCTGTTTCAAAAACTTTAAATATCTATATTGCTCCAAGCTTTCAATTTTGACCTGTGGGTTTGGTTCCCCATCCAATTCTGTTTATGAGATAAGAACAATCTTATCACATCACTGATGACGTTTTTTTGTCTAATTTTTAAATTATAAATATCTATAAAAAAAGAAAAAATAGCAGTGTTTATTTATAGTTTTATTATATCATATTGATAACATTTTTTAGTTTCTATATTGGGAAAGAGCTCGAGCTGGGAACAATAATGACTGAGCCTTGTATATTAAGAAATTACTACAAGACTACAACAAGTAGAAGATTACGTCCAGAGTTCATACTCTATATATCATGAACATTGTGGGTTTTATGTTTTAGTTTATTAAATAATGATACATTCAAAATTTCCATAATATACAGCAACTTCTAAATTGTCTGTAATTTGATTTGAATAATCATTCATCAATCTGGTCATATTACTCATTTATAGTCATTCAAAATTTGGTTTTCTTGAATTACTTGATTATTATTTTTTTTAATCAAGAAAATTAAATTTGTCAATCACAAATTGTTTAATAACGGAGTAAATGTGTGTTAGTTGCTCCAATTAAAACGATATGTCTATTTTGGCTTTGTTAACAAATATGATGTTTAAATGACTATAGAAAAGTTTAATAGTTTAAATAACGTTTTTGATAAAAAAAATTTAAAGAGTTTTTATTTATTAAATTCCAATGGGCAAATACAAAATAGGCTTCAAGGCCCAACGGTTAACAAAGGGAAAAGCAAATCGGAAAATTTTGCCGGCGATAAGGTTGGATCCTGGTTTGACTATCGGCAACAGCGACTCCCGTCCAAGAATTTTGGCATTTGCAAAAGGATTACTTTGCTTCTCCTTCGGTGGCTCCAGTTGTTCAGCCAAAGCAAACGAATTCGGACCAAAACCCTATTACCAACGTGGGATCTTACCCGCAACGCCTTTTCCAGACTGAACCAAATCGAAGATAACTGTGCCCACCACCATCTTGTCCCATACCTAGCAACAAGGGCATCAAATTCATCCATCATCTCTTGCACGAGCTTTCCAACCTCTTATCGTAGCCAGCACTTGCTTCAAACCGGGCGGATCGAAAACCAAACTCGGTAGCAGTTAGGTTCTTGGCGCAACATTACCATAACTGCCAACAACTCTCCGATACAGCCAACACACATATCTGAGAAGAACTGGTCGTTAATCAATCCAACAAAGGTGAACCCTCCTACCCGCCTTTTGACTTTCGCCACCTGCTACAGATCCGAAACTAACACCGCGAGCCGAGCCACCTTAGACCTAACCACTGAGTCTTCAGCAATGGCGAAACAGCAAGGCGGCTCCTAGCGTCTATCTCGACCACATAAGGCGTCTAAGGCGGATCTACCACTCCACATAACCACCAAAGAAACTAGGCCAGCCCCAACCACCGAACCGAGAAACAAACTTGTCGATAATGAAGGACTGGAAAATTCAGAGAGGGTGGGGAGGGATAGGAGCATAAGCCCTTAAAAGAAGATTGGAGGTCATATCGTCTCCTCCCTCGCAGATCTGAAAAAAGCGGCTACGGTTTTAAGAGAGAGAGAAGGGAGCGATTTTTCTGTCTCTCAAAAGCCTTTATTTTTTTAGCTTGTTTCTTTTACGAAAATTTATGGGTTAAACGAAAATTTATGAAGTGTTTAATCCATAAATGTTTTCAAATTTTTCTGAAATTTATGGGTTAAACGACATTTTTCCGTCCAATATATCATTTTTATTGAATTAAATGTAAAATTAGTTCAAACTAAAAAACCTGTTTTTACATGGCAATTGGTTTATACTGTCGTTGGTCAACGTCATGATCTACAAAGATGTAAGGCAAAGACCAAACATCAGACGTGTTTAGTAGTAGTTGTTCTCAATACATCTCAATGGTTCCTCAAATGGTAAGCACTAATTAATCTTTGTTCTTACTAATTTAATCAAAGTACTTTAGTGGAGTTTGACCCGTTTCCTAGCACGAAACATAAATAAACGATTTGAAATAAGTTACGTGTCGATATGCCAAAGGATATATATAGTAATGTAGATGATCTCTATTTCATTGTTTGTGTTAGGCGACCTATTTTTTTTGTGGAATATTAATAATTAACTAACTCAAGTATATTATTATTTTGTTTGTGTTCCAACATTTCATGTTCAGCTGTTCTTGTAATGTTAAAAACAATTATCATTATGAATTTAAAGTTATTTTTTGAACTTTTTTTTTATGAATTATTTTCCTATATATTGAGCATAGACTATTTTTATAATTCATGTGTAGTTGGAAAGAAGAAAATTTAAGTTCGAGTTTTTTTTGGGTCAAACTAAATTTTTTATAGATAATTTTACTTTCCAACAATGGAGAAATGGTTCAGCAAATACAGCAGAGAAGCTACAAAGGCCAAAGAAACTGCATCTACATATGTCAACCCGTTAGCAAGAAAGGAAATAATAGAAGCATACATAACAGTTAAGCAACTAAAACTAGGGCTAAAACATGAAATGAGGCTTTGAAAAATCAGAGAACACACTTGGTGATCTACGGTCCGGAGATGCTGCATCCAAAACTGAATAAATAGCATTCTAAAAACGGCTACAAAAGTAAAAGCGACATAAGACCCAAGAGTCATTCTTATATTATTAAAGCGACATAAGAACCAAGCGACATATAGAATTTGATATGAATTAGTTACTTTACTCATCCTTATGTGAAATGGAAATTTAATAAAAGATAAAGGTTCAAGAGTTAACATGGACGAGACTAAAATGTCAGAAACTGGGAAAAAATAATTTGGTATGCCAATTTGTGATCTTCATGCCAACGAGAATCAGTGTCGGCCCTGTAAATTTGGGGGTCAAATACAAAAAACAAATTAGGGGTTTTTTATAACTAAAACTGCTATATTTTGTTTATCTAATGGTGAGATTTTCATAATTTTTGGTTATTTTCGTTAAATATGTTTTTACTAATTATAAGATTTTTTTTGGTTAATATTAAGGTTTTTTTTGCTAATTTTGAGGCATTTTACAAATTATGGGGCCTTTTGTTTACTAAATATTAATTTTAGTTTATTAGGTTAAAACAAATTTCTCACAAAGTGGGCTTGAAAATTTTGAGGCTCAATACAAATGTATCACAAGAATGGGTGAAGGGACAGGCCTGAAGAGAATGTGGTTTTTTTTATATGCTTAAAAAAGGTTCATTAAATATTAAAAAAGGAAAAAACTAAAAAAAATGTAAAACAAATAAATTAGTGGAAGCTCCTTTGGTGTAGTGGTTGACCAATGGTTGTTTAAAGTTTCTACCCCAAAAGGTCTTAAGTTCGACGTCCAAATAGTGCAGATTTATTAATCTGTAGTAGAATCGTTATTGTAATAATTCTCATAATTTACAATAAATAATAAATCAAAAGTAAAAAAACAAATAAATTAAAGCTAAAACATATAAAATGAAAAAGAAAATCTCCTACCTAATCGAGATCTATCTCCTGGCCACCCAATCCCTTCTCAATCAAACTCTTCCTTATGTTTTGTTCGAATTAGCTCTGAGCGCTTTATCTCACCAATTGCCGTTTCTTTCGGTGCTGCATCCTTCTTTTAGTTGGGTTGTTTTCCTCCTCTATCATCCACCATTTAAGAAACCAAGTGAGTTCTTCTTAGATGTTGAGTAAAATTAGATCCATATTTGTTGTATAGCAAAAATAAGTATTTTTGATTCTGTCTCTAAAGGTGAATGAGCACCTCCCACCTCTACGGAACCCCAATATTTTGCTTCTCCTAAATGATCACGAACAATCCATCCACTAATGACTTGACCAGTCATATTGTCAAAACCAGAATCATAATTGCATTTTAATATATTGTAGACCGGTTTCTCCTATGATGAATCATGGTGTGTTCAAGGAACTGATGTCTATTTTGAGGAATTTTGAACGTTTAACCATTCTTTTGTTTCAGTTTTTGCTTGGATAGTTATTTTGGTAGAGCTTTCTAGATTTTATTAAAATAATATTATTCCGAGCTTTCTAGATTCGCCACAAGATCAAGAAAAGTCCGTTAAAAATATTTAAACTCACTGAATGTAATATTAGTTTATAGTTGCGTAAAATTTTAGAGTGAGAAAATGAGATTCTTGCATAATTAAACATCAATTATTTTCTAATTTATGGCAAAATTCGTAACACTTTTTTCTAACCAAAAAAACTCATAATACGTAAATTTTATACCAATCCTTTGATCTAATAATTAATTGGATCAAGATTGGAGAACCATATGTGTTGCTAGTTTTGGAAGTAAATGTATTGTTGTAATTGTATACTAACTCCTTAGACTTCTATGAATAATTTGAAGGACCACTACAAGGAAATTTTTTCATATATATTTGGATAGTATAATGTAAACCTCATGACATTTTAATTATAGTATATTATCTAAATCTCTAAAACAAAACCAAAAACCACCAACTCTTATATGAGCCAAAACAAACCAACCAACTCTCTTAACGTGTAGTTAGGTTAGTTGCCACACGAGGAAGACTTAACTATATAATATTTGCATATTTGGATGATCTTAATAATAATTTGGATGATTACAAGAGAAAAAAGAGGTTAAGCAATGGAGAAAATAGAAGCAAAGAGAAGGATCGTGTTAGTTCCATTACCAGCACAAGGTCATGTTACTCCAATGATGCAACTTGGGAAAGCCCTTTACTCGGAGGGCTTCTCGATTATAGTTGTTGAGAGACACTTCAATCAAGTAAGCTCTTCCTCTTATCAAAAATTCCCTGGTTTTCAGTTTATCACCTTAAAAGAAAGCTTACCAGAGTCCGAACTCGAAAGACTCGGAGGGATGGAGTTTATGATAAAGCTCAACAAAACCAGTGAAACAAGCTTTAAAGACTGTATAGCTCAGTTTTTTTTTTTTTTTTGAATAATCAAAGAGGTTCTGGGCTGAAACCCATACATCCATTCAGACCCGAAACCAAAGCATGTTATATGGTTTCGTCCCAAGCGCTATTCGAACCAGCGACCTCTAAGCTTTTGCCAGAGATCTTTACCAATTGAGCTATTAGCACTTGGTGTATAGCTCAGTTTTTGATCCCTACGACGAGTGATATTGCTTGCATCATCTACGACGAGTTCATGTTCTTTAGTGGAGCTGTAGCTAAGGAGTTTGATCTTCCTAGTGGATCATCTTCAGCACTCAATGTGCTACAAATTGTGTTTCATGTTGTATACTAAGCAAACTCAATGCTGACGAGTTCTTGGTCGACATGGAAGGTACTCAGATTAAACAATATTAACTAGGTCTTAACATGCAGTAAATCGGGGAACCATTTTTTTTTTCATGATGACCCATAAGAAATATATAATCATATTTATATAAACTGAACCCCGTTCAATCATATTTATGTATAATATTATTAAATTTTAATATTTTTAGCGGAAAATTGTATTTTTATTATACATATGTTTTATGTAATAATACAGTTTTTTTAAAAAAAGATTATGTAAATATATTTGAGAGAGATTTGATTTATTAGAAAGAGATTTTAGGATTTTTTTTATGAAATAAATATTTGTTTATAATTTTGCGATTTGCATGTGATTTAGTTATAATATTTTTACTTTTAAGTTTTGTTATTAATTCAAATGGCAAGGGTTTAATTATGCAAATATTATAAAATAAACCCAAAATAGATTTTAGTACAAAATATACTTCAAAATGTATATATAGATAGTAACACATCCTGAATCCACTAGTTTCACTATTTTGTTTTTTACTTTGTTGATCCTGAAATGCAAGAACAGGTGGTGGAAAATTTGTATCCTTTACGATACAAAGACCTAGCAAAGTCAAGAATGGGGCCAATAGAACATGTTTTTGAGCTCTATAGGGAAGTAGTCAACACATGAACAGCTTCGGCTGTTATCATCAACGCGGTGAGCTGTCTAGAGAGCTCATCTTTGTCATTGATGGAACAAAACATTGGAATTCCTATATACCATATAGGGCCACTTCACATGATAGCTTCCCAACCTTCTAGTTTACTTGAAGAGGACAGAAGCTCTATTGAGTGGCTGAACAAGCAGAAACCGCGGTCAGTTATATATGTAAGCGTGGGAACTGTAGTTCAAATGGAACCAAAGGAAGTGCTTGAGATGGCTTGGGGATTGTGTAATAGCAACCAGCTTTTTTATGGGTCATACGACCAGTTTTGATCCCTGGCTTCAATGGGATAGAGTCATTGCCAGAAGAAGTCAGTAAAATGGTCTTAGAAAGAGGATACATTGTGAAACGAGCACCACAGATAGAAGTACTTGGACATCATGCAGTGGGAGGATTCTGGAGCCACTGTGGATGGAACTCAATACTTGAGAGCATTGCACAAGGAGTTCCATTGATTTGCAAGCCCTTTCATGGCGAGCAGAAGTTGAATGCTATGTATGTAGAAAGTGTTTGGAGGATAGGGTTTCTGGTGGAAGGTAGTGAAGTTGATAGAGGAGAAGTTGAGAGAGCTGTGAAGAGGTTAATAGTGGATGAAGAAGGTGCCATGATGCAGGAGAGAGCCCTTGTTCTAAAAGAAAAGCTCAAAGCCTCTGTGAAAAGTGGGGGTACCTCATACAACTCTTTGGATAAGCTTGTCAAGAACTTAAAGACAATGTAAAATGTTGAACTTAATGTATGAGGCTTTGAATTGATCAAGCTTGAATAAGAGACAATTGAATTGTATTGATCAAGCTTGATCTTGAAAAATTTACAAAGTACATGTAGAATATAAAGTAGTAATCAAACAAAGATGAGAGGTGAAATATGTTGACTAATAATAAATTAATATGGTAAGTTAGATATGAAATCTTCTTTGTTCAATTTGATTACGATGCATAGTAATATTTTTTTTTTGAAATTATGAAAGCATTTTCTTTTTCTTTTTGAACGTAATTAAATTGTAGTGGGTAGTATTTGACATTTTTATCTTTATGACTATTATAAATTGATTTTTTTAACCTGTATATTTATAGTGGCATCTAACGTGAAAATATACTTTCTTAATACTATTTTGGGTGTAGGTTTTTTTTTGTCAACATTGGGCCACAATGGCCGGCCCATTAGCTTAATACCCACAAATATATAGAGAGCGGGACCATCACACTCATGCCAAGAAACTGTGAAGTGACCTTAGTCTAGTAGCAAATGGTAAGTTCATCGATGGATAGGCACTATCATACCAAGGATCAGGGTGTATGTTATTTGAGAACAATTTATTTGATTTATAGGGAGAAAACCAAAATATGGTTATGTCGATGTCTCAACTTGTTTTTTTGGTAAAATACAGAGCGTAACATGAAAAAGGGAAAAAGGGGAATTCTTTGGTGTATCTTAATGAATAAATATCTTTAATAAAATTTAAGATGTAATTAAAAGTTTCACGGGTTTAAATGTAACGTTTGCGGTTGTGAGAGTTTACAGACGCATGCATTTAGGATTTGAAGCGGTTTTAGAAATTTAAAAGACAAATCTGACGGTTGAAATTGAGTTATTTACTGAAAATTTAAGATTGATTAACTAGCAGGTGCGACAAAAATTAAACAAAACATGATAACATTAGTATTTTTCTTATTTCTATGTAAAATATAATCTTTTTGACCCGTCAAAAATTTTGAACATTTAATATAACAACAACCTTATAATTTTTATTTTTATCAATTTTACAGTAACATTTTATTATTGTCAACATGATACATTAGCCCAACTTCAACCCTGACAACTTGTTGTCTTATAAAAAAAAAATAGTAGTTAAAATAATAATCTTGGATCTATACCCACCACTTACTCTTCTATAAAGAGTTGACTTTACTACCTCTCAAAAGGCCTCAAAGCAATCTCCAAAAGACCACATTTTGTCTCCATCATTAACTTATAATAACATCAAACTCACAACACATACAAACCAAAAACCAAGCATCATAGAATCATAAATCAGAATCTCTCCATTCATCAAAGAATCCAAACAAAAAAAATGGTGAGAGAAAGAAGAAAGACAGAGAAACCAGAAGAACAAGAAGAAGTTGTAGTAGATCAAGAAGAGAAGGTGAAGCCAAGAAAAAGAAGTGTGAGCAGAAGAAACATGCAATCTTTGGTGATCGGACTTGTTGGTGCTGCGTTGACTCTTGGTGCTTATTCTCAGACTTATGTTGATCCTGGCAAGTCTCTTGGTGCTGGTCTCTTCGTACTCTTCTTTGGTTTGCTTGTTAGTGAAGGGTTCATCTCTCTTTGAAAAATCAATGTTTCTGTATAACCTTTTTATTTTGTTTTCTATGTATGTTATAAATATACATTTCTATGAGTATCTTGTTTCATTTTTATTATGATATGTTTGGATCTTGAACTTTCAAGATTTCTTTTTCTTTTTGTCTTGTAAGAATATGTTTTGATCTTCGAGACCATATTAATTTTAATTCTTGATGATATGTATACACACAACTACCCAAGCAATATGAACGGAATGATATTTTCCGACATGGTTGGCTAAAGTTGACTTTGACTTGGTATATGCTCTTAGCTATAAATTTATAAATAAAGAAAAGAAATTGGTATCTAAAAAAGAAAACAAAACAAATAAACCAAATTGGACGTAAAAGCGGATTTTTTGGCACGCAAACTTTGTACCTGTCCGCATATTATCAAGGGGAAATATTGGTTCCTTTTTCTTTTCAATATTCACATGTTACCAAAATAATACATTAACACGACAACACATCAACTCGTAAAGAAATATTCGGGCCGTAGATCATTTTGAGATAAGACTCATTATTGGGCCTCTTAATCTATACGATACACATTCATAGGTGAACAACAAAGCTAAAGCAAATGGAAGAGCTTGAAGATTAAGATGAAGAAAATGTCTATAATTTATGTGTATTGTTTTGTTTACATTTTCCGTAGTTGAATATCATTGTAATAGGATAAGATTATATCAAATATTAGTATAAATGATGATGTAATAGACGAAAAATACTATTTGTAAAGCTATGTTCGTGGCTTTTTCTTGGTCAATATAAAAATATAAAACACCATAAATAGCAAAAATACTCAATTTTTTAAATATGATTCAAAGATTGCTTTAGTTTTTATCGTACGATCCATATATTTTTTTGTAAATAATTTGCGTTAGAAGTTAAAATCTAGGACCTAAGCTTAGGTGTTATTGGAACAAAATTTATTTTGTACACACCGACATAATTCGCTGAAATAGCGTCATGTCAAAGTCAATATTTTCCAACCACCCATTGCTTCATGCATGTGAGAATGGGTACTAATGTTCTACCAAATTTGAGTATAGATTAAGACGTCGTAAGCATATCATGGTGAAAACGTGTAACAATATTTGCATTAACAGTAGATAAAAAGTTTGTGTATCCAATTAGAGTTTTATTATATCTTTGAAGTGTGTTTTCAGTTCATTTTTATGTTTTAACATATGTAATTTTGATGTTTTTGTTACATATGTTTTGTACTGAATATGGTCAAAATCAAACCACACAACTTTTTGACAGCTTTTTTTATACTCAAATTATAATATCCGATAAATACCAACCTAAACCCATTAAAAACTAAAATTCTTTACTTCAATTATATGATATTAGCCAAAGTCAACATTTACCGTAACAATGTTAGATAACCGTTTGACGATGATAAGTCAGCTGACACCGTGACAATAATGGAGCATTAGAGTTAAGTAAAACGGTGGAATATTTTCTTCTCGAAATCTTCGATTTGATTATCCTAAGACTCACTATAGCAAACACCCATAAATCTTGATCACCCATTATTTCTCGTTTCTTAATCACTACACCACTTTCGCTCATCTTGATACTCTAACATTTGGGTTGATTTTCACGTCTACTAGTGCTCTTTTTAGGGAAGGACAGAGATCTTCCGGAAACTACAAATGTGGTAGACTTAATTGCAGACATCACTGATTTTGTTGGTCCGAGCATTGTTCGAATACATGTTTCTAAAGATCGTTTTGGTTTTAAACTATTAAAAATTTAGGTTTAGTTTTGTGGTATTTTTGGTATAAAAATACATTTTAATGAAATTTTTGGAAAATATAGTTAATAATGATATTTTAGATATGTTTGGAAAAATAAACTCATTTTGGTGGTATTTGGAGAATTGCATAGTATAATATCTATATTCTCTATTTCTCTTATCAAAGCAAAATCCATTTGGTCTAATGCATGAAATTAAACAAAACAACAACCAGTTGTTCGCTAATTCATATTTGATTTTAAAATCCAATTTTTGTTTTTTATTGGTCCAATGTATATTTCATGTACTATGACGCCCATATTTAAATTTATTACACGTTTTCTAACTGAAAGAGTTAATAAATTATAGGTTTTCGTACTGTTACTTTTTTATTTAAGAGATTTATTTCGTACAATTACCAAAAATTTAAAATGATTCCTATTAAAACCTATATATATCAGAGATTCAACTTCTTCCAAACATGTAAATAAATACTCAACCAAACAAGATGTTTCGAAACCACATCTTCTTAATTAAATGGGTCCATATATATATATATGACCATTTGAAATCTTAACACTAAATATACCAAAAATGCTAATAGAAACTTTGATATGATCTCACCATGTTAGAGAAAGAGTTATGAGTTTTGCCAATGGTTGGTTCAAACTATGTTTTCATAAAACAAAACAAAACAAAATAATCCTTTTCCCAGAATAATTCATAAAACAAAACAAAACCTAAAGCAAATAATTAAAGTAGCTATGTTTTCTTTTAGTGACTTACACATGTTTGATAATAAAACGTATTTCCTTAAATGAAATATTTTGTAGTTTTGTTAGATGGAAATCACTACTATTACTGGCTTGTAATTAATATCTACGTTTACCTTGTAAAAGAAATTGGTTAATTTATATTTTGATCGGTTAGGACAAACCAAACCGAAACCAATTATAAATTATAATCTATTCCGATCAGTTATCTTCTTTTAACTGAAATCGGACCGAAAAACAAAAATTTTGGTTTGGTTTTGTTCCAAAATTTCGGTTCGGATACCATTCCTAGGGGTACTTTGTAGTTTTGTTAGATGGAAATCACTACTATTACTGGCTTGTAATTAATATTTATGTTTACCTTAAAAATGAAATTTGGTTAAAGTTTATTAAGTTGGTTAAATTGTAATACTTCAGTTCAGCTAAATTCTAATATTGGTAAAAATGTTATACTAAAATCTGATTTTATTTTGGTATACATGGATCTATTTTGGTATAGTTCAGTTTAAGAAAATCAATTACAATATAAATTGATCTATTTTACCTGAACCAATACCAAACCAATATTCTTAGACGCTAACCAAACCTTAATTAAAAATATGTTTATCGGTTTAGTCAAGAACACTGAAACTAAAAATTCAACTTAATTTTTGGTTTGGTATTATGGGTTCAAATCAAAACCACATGATTATATTCGACTAATTATAATTGGAAATTCGTGAACAAAGATTGGAAAACTTTTCTAATGAATGTAAAAGAATAATTAAAAGATTGTGTTTTTTTTTTGACATCGTTACAAATTATACAAAGGTGAGAACCACTATTTTACTGTTTAACGCAATATGTTTAATAATAAAAAGTTTATGTGGAACATCAATATTTATTAATTATATATACAAAATTGTTATTTAAATCCTATAAAATGATCAACAATGATAAAAATCATACTAAAATTATATTTAGACCAAGAATTCTGCATTTGCCAATAAATTGAAAGTTATATGTAATTTCAAAAAGTTGGGTTTTGGGACAATTAATAAGCCAATTTAGAAAAACAAAAGTGGCGTGCCATGTTGATGACTTCAATACGTGGGCTTTAAACTGTCTAGACAATAATTTATTACAATTTTTACGCGTCTGTCTCCCTTTTTATTTATTTTAGGATTTATTGAGGTTTTATTTTATTGTGACCTACTCAAATAGTGATGTTGGGCATCAAATAGCTAACCAAAACAATATTGCGCATCAAATGTTAATTTGGTATTTTTTTTGTTAGTAAAAGATTCAACATTTCAAATGTTTATTAGTATATGTACCATGATTGATGTCATTTAATTTTTGCAAGCTGAACACATCGACATTTTCTTACTAAAATCATCATGAAACAAAAAAGAGTCAAGGATGAGTCATCATTATTATATATATTTTGTTTTTGAAACATTTTTTTTATTGAGGATCGGTTTTTATATAGTCATTATGTAAGTGTAATTAATTAAGCCGGTGATATATAAGGGTGTCGTATTAAAAGTAGAATTTAAAGTGATTTGGGTTTTCTTGAGTTTTTTAAAATTTTTTGACGATTTTAGGGAAATTCATATGATTTTTGTAAAATCTTTTCAAATATCACATAAAACCATGAAATTTAAATTTTTGGATTTTTAACTAAGGAACTCCTCTCAAATCCTCTCAAATCCTCTCAAATCCTTCAAAATCCTTACAAACCAAATCCACAAATTGTGTTCAATAACAGTGGATTTTGAAATAATTATTTCAATAACAATGGATTTCATGAGATTTTTTAAAATCAATGTTTGAATAACATATGATTTATAAATTCTTCACAAATATCTTAGAATTCTACTTTGAATACACCTCTCAAAGTGTATATCTTAAATGGATTAGTATAACTAATTTCAGTTTAAAAAACAAAAAAAAATATGTTCTCACTTTGTTATGTGTTCTTGAGTTCTTAAGCCCTAATATGATCTACGAGCAGAAATCATGATTCTAATACAAAACTTCAGTTCTAGTTTATTTTTATCACCTTCATTTTTTTTTTTTTGCTAACTGGTAAATATCATATAAAATGAAAGGGGTTCGGATTTACAATAGAAAACCTAAGATTTGGTTCCTTGGCAAAAAGAGAAAAAACAAGGAAGCAACAACAGATCTCAAAGGATTTGCTACAAATCATATCCATAAACGCATTAGCTTTCGGAAGCTTTTGCGATGACATCTTGCAGAGATGGTGTTTACGATCTCTCGGTCGATGGCTTTGAAGACGATGGTCGGAGGAATGACTAGATGGTTATGCAGCAGATTGTTTCTCTGTTTCCACAACGCATTTACAGTGGCTTGAGCAGCTAGCTTTCGGAGGATAGAAGGAGAAGAAGCAGTGCTGAGCTTGAGCCAAAGGAGGAGACAGTCCCAGTCTTGGAACAGCAAAATAGGCAGCCTTAGTCTTGTCTGTACCAGATTCCAGATTTCAGAGCTAAACCCACAGGAGAGAAGAAGGTGGTCTCTAGTTTCTGGATAGGAAGAGCACAAACAGCAGAGAGGGGAGACTTGCATTCCCCATGACACTAACCTTGCACGAGTGGGCAACCTGTTTAGGTTAGAGATCCACATATGGAAGGAGTTTCTTGGGGTAGCACCCTTGAACCAAATTAGAGGAGCCCAGCTTTTTTCCTCCTCTCTATGACGCAGCGCATCCCAAGTCTTAGTAGAAGAGAAGCCATTGCAAATTTCCCCATTCACTACCCAATCATAATTATCATGGATATTAGATTGCAGAGGAATAGTGACTGTAGAGAGATAAGCATGTAACTCAAGAGCTTGTTGAGATCTAGGGGAAGGCAAGTTCCAACTGGTGCCTTGCGTGGCATCCGCTACAGCCGCTGAGAGAGGAATCCTCAAGTCTCTAGGTCCGCCTTCCCCCAGCAGATGTATTAAGGGACCAAAAGGTTCAATGCAATATTCCATTCCGTGAATCTTCTAAGACCGAGCCCTCCCTCAGATTTTGGCAAACAAACAGTAGCCCAAGCTACTTTTGCTTTATGCATATTTTCGATCCCTCCAGACCAGAGAAACCTTGAACAAAGGGATTCAATTTTCTTTATACAACCTCTCGGTAGCTTAAACGTTGAAATCCAGAAAATAACCATGCCGGTGATGACTGTTGCAATCAGCTGGAGTCTTCCTGCGAAAGACAAGGTTTTGATTGCCCAGCTAGTAAACCTCCCTCTAATTTTGTCCACCAAAGTTGCATATTCGCTGATCTTTAGCTTCCTGCACATAAGAGGCAATCCCAAGTATCTAATAGGTAGAGAAGCTTTAGGATAACCATAGTTTTCAATTGTTGCAGCTTCAACCTCCTCAACTCCTGCAAGGAATAGATCAGTTTTGTCCCTGTTCATAGTCAAACCAGACCAACCAGCAAAGTCGTCTAGAGTCTCAGTTATCCCATGTAGAGAGGAGCTTCCACCATCAAAGAATATCATCACGTCATCCGCAAACATCAGATGAGAGATATCCTGATCTGATGTTTTGGGATGATGGAAGATATAGCCAGAAGAGTACCTTGCCTTAAGAAGCTTTGAGAACACTTCCATAGAAAGCACAAAGAGATAAGGAGAGAGAGGGTCTCCCTGCCTTAGTCCTCTTTTACTCTTGAAGAAACCGCTAGAAGTTCCATTGATTGCAATAGAAAAAGTAGGGGTAGATATGCACTCAACTAACCAGTTTATAAAAATGTCTGGCAGACTCAAACCCCTCAAAGTTGCGATGATAAAATCCCAGCGAAGAGAGTCAAAAGCTTTGCGCAAGTCAACCTTAAGCATGCCTCTCGAGGTGATGTTCCTCCGGTTATAACCCTGGACAATCTCCGTGGCTAGCAGGAGAGATTAGGTCTGGGAGCAGGAGAGATTAGGTCTGGGAGCAGTAGCTTGAGTCTATCTGCAAGCAGTTTAGAGATCACTTTGTATAGCGTGTTCAAGCAGGCAATAGGCCTGAAGTCTGAGGGCTTGGAAGCATTACTGTTCTTAGGGATTAGCACCAGAGTTGTTGCATTCCACTGTTTCAGAATTTTCCCGGAGTAGAAGAATTCTTTCACTACTGAAATCACCTCACCACCCACAATACTCCAGCAACTAGTATAGAACTCTGCTGGGTAGCCATCAGGACCACTAGACTTATTTCTTGGAAGAGAGAAAAAAGCGTCTTTAATCTCTTGAGAGGAGAAATTCTTTATGAGTTCATCCTTCTGAGAAGAGGAGCAGGAGAAGTCTAGTAGTCTATTTATATCCTCTTGCTGGAATAGCGAAGGAGAGTCATCTTTTCCTAAGAAATTTGAGAAGTAGTCAACGCAAATATCTTGAATTCCTTGAGCAGATTTCACTTTTGTCCCGTTAGAGTTTTCAAGGTAGTGGATGTGGTTCATTGCTTGCCTTAGGTTTACCATTCTGTGAAAGAACCAAGAGTTACAGTCACCATCCTTCAGCCAAGAAATAGAGGATCTTTGTCTAAAGAATGTCTCTTCAGCGTTCTCTAGGATATGCCAAATTCTCTCCGCTTCAACAAGGTCTTTAGCAGTTTGAGGGGAGGGCTGAGCCAGCATTGAGTTCTGAAATTGAATAACCTTCTCTAGAGCTTCTTGGACCCTTTTCTCAATATCTGAGAAGTTATTTTTGCTGAAGTCCCGAATAAGCTTTTTCAGAGCGCTAAGCTTTTTAGAAACTCTAAACATTTCAGAGCCCACAAAGTTAAAAGAAAACCAGCTCTCACAAATAAGAAGAATGAACTCTTGATGCTTAAGAAGGAAAGTATAGAGCTTGAAGGGCTTCTTTTGGTCTGACCTGGGCGGATCCAGGCTGATGGAGCTACAAGCATGGTCTGAAAATTCAGGCTCACCAAAGAAAGCAAAAGACCAGGGGAGATGCATTGTCCATTGGGCATTGACCAACACTCTGTCCAGCTTCTTTGCAATAGGATCGTTTTCTCTTTTATTCCACCATGTGAAAGAGCAGCCTCTAAAGGTAAGATCCATTAGGGAAGCATTGAAAAGACAGTCCCTAAAAACAGTTATTGCAGGGTCAACCCTGTGACCATCTGAAGCAGAGTGCTCAGCAGGGTTTAAGGTTTGGTTGAAATCACCCAGCAAGGTCCAAGCTTTGTTCACTATAGACTGGTGACTAGAAAGACTTATGATCTCATCCCAAAGAAGCAATCTGTCGGATTCCTCGTTAGATGCATAGACGAATGAGACTATAATGGGCACTGAGAGACTAGGCATTTGCACTTCACAGGTTATCATCTGAAGAGACTTGGAAATGATGCTGACCTGAACGCTTGGATGCCATAAAACCCAGATTTTGCCAAGGTTGGAGAATACATAATTATCTTCCCAGCTCCAGCCAGGCAGAAGATCGCGGATGAACTTGGCTCTCTTGTGCTGCTGGACGTGGGTCTCTATAATACTACCAAAAAATGGTTTATTTCTTCGAAACCATTTTTTAAATCCGGTACGATGGGATAGCTTGTTAAAGCCTCGGACATTCCAACAAAAAATATCTGTATACATAAATATTAGACAGATTTGAGGCTATTGCCTCGCTCACGCCGACGCTGTCGTTGAGACAACACCGTTGTGAACTCAGAATCGTAATGGTCATCTTCTGTGTAGTCAACACCGTCACTGCTGTCCGGTTCGCTACTAGAGATATCTGAGGAGTCAGCCTCAGCCCCAGAGCCACCAGAGGAGACAATAGTACGGGTGGGAGAAACTGTTGCAGGTCTGAGTGGCTTTTGAGGAGGGCGAGAGCCACTAGACTGACCCAAAACTTTCTGGGTGCTGATACCTGAAACAGGAGAGGAAAGAATTCCTTTTCCTTTCGGGTCAGAAGCGGTAGAAGTAGAGAGATTAGAAGGAGAAGGAGCAGGGATAGACGGAGGAGCAGCAGGTGAAGTCGTGACAACAGGAGGTTGCTTTTCACGGTAAGCTGGAGCCTTCTTCTTTGACTTTCTTGGACAAACATCCAAAGTGTGAACGGTGGATTTACAGCCAGTGCACGAAATGGGAGCTGTCTTGCATTTCTTAACACTGTGGCCAATCTCTTTGCAGTGACTACAAACAGGGGGCATCCAAGGGCTAGAAACGAGCACTCGCCTGATCTCACCTGATTGGAATCGAACATTTACAGCCTCAGGAAGAGGTTTACGGGGGTCAATAATCGTGAACACCTTTGCGACTTCCAGGTTTGACTTGTTTGCAGTTGATGGGTGAAGGCTCTTAGGATCTCCGACCAGACCAGCAATTCGCCCTAATCCATCATCGTTGAAGAACTGAAGAGGAACATTTCGAAGTTCTAGCCAGATTGGAGCAGCAGAGAGTTCAGGCTTAACTGGAGTAACTCCTGGTTGCCAATCAGCAACAAACATTGTTTGTCCTTCTATGCTCCAAAGCCTTTGGTTTAGAACCCTGTTTCGAGTTTGGAAATTTGGGATCCTAAAAAGGAAAGCATTTCCTTCAAGCTTTGAAACAGAGATATCACGGAATCGATTACTCCAGATGCCATTCACAATTGTATGTATTGTGCCTTGTGATGGAGGATCATGGTAGAATTGGCCGATTATAAACGATTCCCAGGATTTTTGATGTTTCTCAATCACTGAATTTGGGATGTCCACACAAGCTTCACCTGAAGGGAGAAGGAAAGATTTTCCTTTCTTTGATAGTGATTTAGCAGAGCCCTTGAATAAGTTCAACCAGTCTGGATCACTTGCTTTAGGTTCGGCTTGGGAGGTAGATGGTGACGCCGCAGCCTTTGCAGATTCGTCGTTGGTTTTGGTAGCTTCTGGGTTTGTTGAAACTTCAACATTCGCAGTAGTTGTCGAGTTTACCGGTTCCGGAGTGAGTTTGGGAGCAGGTAGAGTCGAGGAAGGCGGCATAGGGAGGTCTAGGTTTGTAGAGCTCACTGTGGCGTCAATCGTACTCAGATCTTGAAGATCTGAAACTGGGGTTTCACAGATTTTTGAAACAATGGCTGAGCCAGAAGACGGAGCTTCGACTGAGGCATTTATAACCGGAGAGAGAGGGTCGCTCGAAGAAGAAGTCAGAGGACGCTCTACAGCGGGAGAAATCAGAGAAGGGGAAGGTGGGGAGTTATTCTCAGACAGGAGCTTGGAAGGAGAGATCCAACCAGGAGGTTTTCGTTTTGAGGATTTGTGCTTCCCCATAAGGAGGGGAGGACCAGAAAAAGCAACCGGAATCGGGTTCCGCCGCCGTGAAAGACGACGGAGGTGAGAGGAGAAAACAGACACTTTATCGCCTGAAGGGAGATGACATAGAGCTGAGAGGAGAAAGAAGGAGAAAAGATTGTTCTCGGAAGAACCGGCGTGAGGCCGATCTCCGGCAGAGATCTACAAAAGAATCGTAAATCGCCTTAGAAGCTCTCAGGCACAGAAACCAAGAAAAATTGTTTTCGCCTTCAAACTAGATCTTAGACACAACTTATCACCTTCATTGATTTGGTAATATTGGTATGTGGTGATCTTTCACTTGATTTGGTAATATTGGTATGTGATGATCTTTCACTTGATCACCATTTCCAATCCTTATAAAGTGGTTTCCACAAAAGCCGTCGGCTCGTGCTCAAAATCCTTCCCAACTTGTTGTAACCCTGAGCAATGGCATCACATACAAAGCTGCCTAAGCTCATGAATGATGATATGAAGAGGAAACATATAGAGCCATATGCTAAGTCACAAGTTAATAAAAATGTTAATGATAAATTGCCAATGTATTTTTAGTTAATTTACTTCTTTAAAAATTTCCAATGGTAGTCAATGTTATTATCTAAATGTGAATGCCAAGTTGCCAATGTTATTCAATGGTGGCAGTGTAAAAGTCATGATTAATTAGCTTTAATATGACCAAAGTCATATGACCACCAAATTTAAAAAAGGTGGCCAAGAACAGCATCAAGGATCTTAAACTTCAAAATTAAATAATACTCAGTTAGACACATCAGTACATCACACATGCCAACTTCAAACTCCTTAATGAACTGCAAGAAGGTGAGATTAAGGATTTATAGTAAATATATTCATTTAAATGCTCTTGATTTATTTATTTTTAAAATAAAAAATTGGTTGTCAGAAATATTTTTAAAATTATTTTAGTGTAATTTTAATATGGTCGGAATTTTGTCAGAAATTTTCGACAAATTTTTAACCACTAAAAATTTTCGTCGGATAGTTGTAGGAAATTTCCAGTGAAATTCTGACAAATACAAATTTGTAACGATATTTTTTGTCAGTAATTTTTGACGAATATAAATATCCAACCAAAGAATTCTTGAGAATTTAATTTTGTCAAAAATTCGTCTGAATATGTCATTTCGACAAATATCGTCGTCGAAAAATCCCATGTTTTCTTGTATATATACAAAACAAAAATTTTGAAGTCGAGAAATTAAATTTCAGAAAATTAAAAAAAAAAAAACAGAAAATAATTAAGACATTCAAGGCTTATATATAAGACACCTTTTTTAACCATAACAATTGATATATGCTTATATATCTATATATATAAGCATACAAAAAGATTTAAAACTCAGGTTATATATTTCTTTTTTATTATGTCAATATTATATATCTATTACCATTTGTACAACTGTACTACTTCACCTGCATCTATCATTCCAAGTGTATTTAAATATCTGTCGTTTTTCCTGGTTGTAAGAAAAATCAGTATTTATTACATACAATTTTTTGTTTTGTTTTGTTTCTGTAACAATTTGTCGTTGCAAAACTGGTTATGTTTTTTTTAGAGTACAGATCCACTGATCACATGCATGCATGGACAAAATCTCTCACCTTAAGCAGCTTGAGATCGTAAGACTCATGTCACACCACCACTAAATAGCAATGCCATATGTACACCATTGTATTACGATCGTACTTTCTTTGCAATTTTTGAAACATTTTTAAAATATTAAAAACTATTTTAATTAATATCGAAGTTAGGATTTTGTTAGTCTCTATAAAACCTCTTTGATATAAATAATTCCAAACGATTTTGTTGCGGATGAAATCATTACTACATTTGAGACAGGTAAAAAACTATAATACCTTGTGTACAAGTCATATCTTGATTAGATGCAAAATGCATAAATTCCGATAATCCTTCTTTGTAATCATGTCATGTTACATATCTCCAGTTTTTCATCTAAAGGTTTCTTCATCTACTCTCACATCTTATAAATGTTAAGAGAAAACATCAAATAATAGATCATCGAAATAGAAAACGGTATGGTTGTATATATATAACCCAATTAGGCGCACGCCTAAAGCGCCTAGATCAGGCCAAGGGCCCAAGAACGCCAACTCCATTTGACTATATTCACATTTCTGCGGAAATATGTTCAAATTAATCATTACATTTTTTTGATTAAATATTGATGAATTGTTAGAATAATATAACAGGATGATACGTTTACCAGGTTTTTGTTTCTCACAAAATTTTAATGAAAATATGTCACTTTTTTAGTCGGAATATGTTTATTTTAAAATGTTGTAACCTACCAGTTTTTTGACATTTTTGTGACAAATTCACAATAAAGTTAATCCATCGAAATTTTTTCCTAATTTCCGACAAAATTTTTCGAAAAAATCGATCCAACAAATTCAAAAATAATATATAATATAACATTTTTTCATCATTGTCAAATTTTTTAAAACAAAAGAAAATATATAAATCAAAACTCTAGTAGAAGTATATCTATCTGAAATTTTGTGATAATATAAAGTGTGTGAATAAGAAAACCTTTTGAAAATACATATTAAAAGTTATATTGCTTATAATTTTTTTTCTTTCATACAATTACAATGTATTTTTGGGATAAGGAGAATAAACACTAAAAATTAGCATACCCCAAAAAAAACATAATGGAGTTTATGTGTGCTACATATAAAATTATTGTGACTTTAAAAAAAGAAAAGTGTAAATAAAGCATACAGAAAACTCACAATAAGTCAAATATATACAATTTCTCCAAAACAGCTGTACCCATTTTTGTCCAATGACATATCTACAGTTTTATGAAAAGTCCCAACTGTTCTCTCCGTCAGTTCTGCCACAATATACAAAAATGTAGCTCCAATTTATAACAAATCAAGAAAAATAAACCATACAATAAAAAATAATTTATGCAGTAAAATTGGACCATAAAGATATTGCGTATATAAAAATTAAATTCACACTTTATTATCCAGATAATATAATTTATTGAGCTCTATAAATCATCTGTCTCAAAAAAACACTCAAACCCTCATATGTAAATGCTATTGCAAATCATGTCTCCCTATGATTACTTTTTGACCTTTAAAACAAATAATAAATACTTTCTCATATTCAAAAAAAAATCTATAATGTTACAGTATCACTATCACATCTACTAATATCTGATACACATTTATATTCAATTTCTTGAGTGACCTTTACGACTTATATAAGATTCCTACTCATTTTTGACAAATTTTTTTTCTTTTATCCAACTCTTAAATTCATTTTTATTTTTCGTCGGTTCTTACAATTAAAAGAGTTTTATAGTTAGTTGCATGGACCCTGATTGATTCATTACCGCTAAAGCTTTGTCTGAATCCTCACTTCCTATTTATACCACTTCTCTTCTTCTTCTCCAGTTTCATTCATCATCATATTCATTGACGAAAACACCCTTTTGCTTCTCTCTCTTTGTCTCTTTTGCATGTTGTGATTTGCTTTTTTTTTGCTTCACAACAACATGGGAGCTTTAGTAATCTTCTCGGTTCTTGTGGTAGTTCAGCTCATAGTGTTCTCCGTTTGCGTTCAAGGCAGTTACCGTCGTGGCGGTGGCCATCATCCCGGTGGTCATATGGGACCTTGGACTAATGCTCATGCTACTTTTTACGGTGGTGGTGATGCTTCCGGCACTATGGGTACGAACCTTATTGATAACTTCAATAAATTTTCATTTTCGGTTGGATCATTGTAGCTTAACTCGGAAAAGGGTAGTTTTGTCATTTCACTTCCGGCTTTGTTTCTAGCTAATTGTCACATGCACACAATTTTAACGGCTAATCATGGAATTATCTACAATATATAATCTAGGAATTATATAAACAGATTGATCTTGAATCTAATGTTGTGTGCTTAAGCATTTAACTTCTCCATATGTTTAATGTCTCAATTGTTACAAATGTTCATTGGATTAGAAACATTAATTTAGCCTAATGAACTTAAATTAGGTGGAGCATGCGGCTATGGGAACTTATACAGCACAGGTTACGGACTAGAGACGGCAGCATTAAGCACATCGTTATTCGATCAAGGACTTAGCTGTGGAGCATGTTTTGAGCTGATGTGTGTCAATGATCCTCAATGGTGCATCAAAGGCCGATCCATTGTGGTCACTGCCACTAACTTTTGTCCTCCTGGTGGTGCATGCGACCCTCCAAACCACCATTTCGATCTTTCTCAGCCGATCTACGAGAAAATCGCGCTGTACAAGTCCGGTATCATCCCTGTTATGTATAGAAGGTACTAATTCTATTAGATCCCTAACAATTTAATGTCAATATAACTAGGATTTGTGAAAAGTTTCTAACACTGTTTAGTTAATCTCCTTTTTTGACTTACTGATATATATGTTTAGTCAAATTCACTAGTCGAAATGAGACTAATTGTACAAAAAGCAAATAATAAGATAAGACTATAAGAGATTAGAGTTGTGTACTTATTTAGAAACATATGGACTTCTTCTCTATATGTATATGACTTTTGTCTCACCTCTGTATATGTTATAAACATTTTTTCTTGAAGTACTTTTAGTAATTGTTTTTGACTTTTCATAAAACCTATAAACGCGTAAATTGAAACATTTATAATCAGCTTTTTGGTCCTATAAATTACACATTTAATACCATTGGACCAGTTGATACATGTGGTAGAAATATATGGTAGGGTTATTATTAAATAGACCCAAAACTGAATCTAATAGCGACATTACCAAACTTTGGTGCATGAGAGCTAGCTTTGTCCCGTGAACTTATGAAAATGTTCTTGATAGGGTTCGGTGCAAGAGAAGTGGTGGGATAAGGTTCACTATCAATGGCCATTCATACTTTAACTTGGTCCTGGTCACGAACGTGGGTGGAGCCGGAGATGTACACTCGGTTTCGATGAAAGGGTCGAGGACAAGATGGCAATTAATGTCAAGAAATTGGGGGCAGAATTGGCAAAGCAACTCTTATCTCAATGGTCAAAGTCTGTCGTTTGTTGTTACTACAAGTGATCGTCGAAGTGTCGTCTCGTACAATGTTGCACCTTCTAGTTGGTCCTTTGGCCAAACCTATACCGGAGGGCAGTTTCGGTATTAGTTATATATAACGGGTTTCGGTTTCGATTTCGGTTCGGTTCGGTTCGGGTTTGGTTTATGTAATGTTTTTTCCTTTTTTTTTTCGGTTTCAAGTTGGGGACTTTTTTTTGGGTAACCAATTGAGATTGGGACTGATAGTGATATGTAGCGAATATGTGTGGGAACGAGAAAAAAAAAAGAGAAATATAATTCTCGTTTTATTATGTATGAAAATGAAAAGTGATGTTATGTATTTGCTTTAACTAATTTGTATTTTTATACTAAAGTGAAAATTTCATATTATATATATATAGATTTTTTTTTTCTTTTCTGCCAACCTAATTTTATTCTTCTTTTACATACAAAATTAATTATAAAGACAATTTCTTGGTTTAAAAAATATTGGCAAGATGCAAAATATACAAATTATAATCCATAAAAGTTAATTGTTTACAAAAAAAAAAAAAAAAAAAAAAAACTCTATTCTCTAAACTCTAAAGGCTTTATTGAAACTGGACCATATCAAGATTTCTAAAGGACCTAATTCTCAGTCTACAATTAAAACCAATTCAAAGAAAAAGATTGATATCTTTGACAAGATCCAGCTTGGCTCGACCCTAGCAAGATCTGTCTCTTATTGTCCATGCGGTCCAACGAACCAGTCCACAATAAATTGGTTAGTGGTTAGTCTTTTATGTAAGCCATGAGCCATCATTGACTTTGAAATTCATGTATACATATTTTTAAAGGACCTAACACAAATGGGTCTAAAACCATTGGGCCACGAAGACCTTGAAACCATTATGCTTTCTTAATCTTGATTCTTGAATAATGTAGTTGCTTATACCACTATGAACATTGAACATAAGTCTTAGTTTGGTGCTTAGAACTTAGTTTGCATAAGGATATGTTTGCTTATGCCACTATGAACATAATAAGGCTTAGTTTGGTACTTAGAATTTAGTTTGCATAGGGATAATTTCTATATCTTATATAAGTAGTGCAACTAGAAATGGGTATACATAGTTTTGGTTTCTTGTACCTACATTTATACATATACAAGGAAATGGTATATTTGAAGAGAGTATGGTAAAGCGTGGGGAGAAGAATATAATAAGAGAGGTGACAAATATTTCAAACTTAAAAAGAGAAAACCAAAAAAATGATGTCAGAGAACTGAAACTGTTTCTTAACAGAGCAACCATGAAAGATGTATGCGTGGGGTTTCTTTCTATTTAGAGTCATTCTCTCTCTCCTCACACTTGTTCTTCTCTGTCTTCAGGTTTCCATTTTTGGTAATGAAAAAGATTACTTACGAATAACATATCCATCAACAGAATCCAAAACATCACATGCTTCTCTTATGTTATGTGTTGTCTCTCTTAGTGTGTATATATGAGACACTGGTTGTAGCTAGAGGAGAGACCAAACAAGAAGATGGATTTTTCATGTTTCCAAGAGTACCCTTTTGGTCTCCAGTGCAGAGGTACATTTAATGGGTTTGGAGAAAACAATGCAGTGTCTGAAACTGTGGAAGAGTTTTGTAATAAAGGCAGGATGCAGAAGAAGAAGAGTGATGATGATTTGAAGAAGAAGAAGAAACAGAGTTGTTCTAGGGTTTGTAGTAGAGGTCATTGGAGGATCTCTGAGGATACTCAGCTTATGGAGCTTGTTGCAGTTTATGGTCCTCAAAACTGGAACCATATTGCAGAGAATATGCAAGGAAGAACAGGTAAACAAAAGTTGAAATCTTTGATATCTTTCCTCTGCATATTCTGGGACAAAAATGTGAAATTTAATAATGATTCTGCTTCTTTGGGTTTGTTTAAAGGCAAGAGTTGCAGATTGAGGTGGTTTAACCAGTTAGATCCAAGGATTAACAAGAGAGCTTTCGCTGTTGAGGAGGAAGAGAGACTACTTGCAGCTCACAGAGCATTTGGTAACAAATGGGCTATGATTGCTAAGCTTTTCAATGGAAGAACAGACAATGCCTTGAAGAATCACTGGCATGTACTCATGGCAAGAAAGATGAGGCAGCAATCAAGTTCTTACGTCCAAAGATTCAATGGGTCTAACCATAATAAACCAAACACAGATCACAAAATCTTCAATCTTTCTCCTGGTTTGTGTCTTTTTACCCGGTCTAGTTCTTGATACATATACATTGAGTTTGCTCTGTTATTGAAGTCAAGTCATAATGCTGTTTCATAATGTAACATGTCAACTGGTGTCAAACTTAACTAGCTTGCAAGTTTTAGGGAGATTCTATAGATGTAGGTGAGTTCTAAGTTTTCATGTTTCTGTGTGTTCTACAGGTAATGAAGATGATGAAGATATGAATCTAAGAAAGTACAGCTGGGAAATGCTAAAAGAGGGAACTACTAACCTGAAAGCTCAGTATCTCCAAGAAGAATATTGTTCTTCGCGCATGCCGAGGCAGGGTCCACATCAACACTACTCAACCTTCCCTGCAGATTCCTTGGCACTGACACTGCATGTCTCCATCCAGGAACCATCATCATCATCATCTTCTTCGTCATTATCACTGCCATCATCATCAACTGCAGAACATACAATGGTGACCAGATATATTGAGACCACTAAACCTCCAGCATTTATAGATTTTCTAGGAGTAGGCCACTTAAGCTCCAACATGTAGAGTGGGAACTGATCAAGAACTTGATTACTCCTGTCATTATTATCAAAGTCACTGTCTTTTGTTAGCCATTAACTTGACAAGCTAAGAAATCAAGTATCTTCTTTATCTTTATCCATGTACTATTATTTATCAAATTTCTGATTCAAAATCACAAAATAATATCACAAAATTAAACACCAGCACATTTTATCTCAAGAACTCTGAGTTAGGCCATGAATAGAGACACAAGTAGTGGTTCTAACCCGAGGTAAAGAATCAAGGACCCAGAAAACAATAGCAGTTTTAAATTCCATATGAGTAAAACTTAACTAGCATGAGCAATACTCTCATGCATTCTAACTGGTGCCAGCCATTGCTTTTTCGAGTTCTTCCATTGTAAGTAGCCTCGTGCTGTTCAAATGTTCTCCCTTTGCATAGGAATCTATATCCTTAAGATTCACTTGCTTCAATGTGAATTGGTTTCCCACAGCCTTTATTGTCTTCTCCATAAAATCTGATCTTTCAATGTAATCCTTCATTTTACACACAAAATCTGTATGATCTCTTTCCTGCAATGTACCAAACAGTTCGAATAGTTAACTAACTTCCATGAATCAAAGAGTTTTGGATCAAGTAATCAAATTGAAGACACTTAGGTCAAGATGAAATAAGGATCATACCAACCGGTACTGTGGCACTCTCGAAGGCAGTTTAAGGTAAGCCATGTTTCTCACATTGTAGTCCCATAGAAATGATGTATGGTGTATCCATCTACTCCTAATTATTGATTGAGCATTCCCACCAAACTTACGATCTCCAAATACATAATCTGAAATATCCAAAGTACAAGAAAGAAGAAACATTAAACCTTTCCACTGGGAGTAACTTAACTAAACATCTAAAAGAATCAGTCACAAACCATTCTCACGTAGCTGGAAACCATTAACACCTTTAAACACTTCACCATACAACGAACCGCTCCATGCCATGACAGAACGAGGATAAGGCTGAACATTCGGAACATCATCTTTGTTACAAATCAAACTCACAAACAAAGTACTCTTATCCACAATCACAGTTCCTCCTCCCGTAAATCTTTTAACAACCGGTATTCGATCTTCCATAACAGGTCCAAGCTCAAGAAGCTGAGCAGGCTTCCTGTAATGACGACATTGCTCAAAAGTTAACATTTTTCGCAATGATTTCGATTTACAAGTGAGGAAAGATGTAATCATTTACCCTGACATTCCCATGACAATGGTAGGGACATTAGTTCCATCATTAACAATGCACCAATTCTCAGAAGATGTTCTAAGAAGCCTTTCTTCCAAACCAAGTTGCTCCAAGATTGGTATACCTTTAAGTCTAACAAGATTCATCAACGGAAGCCCCAAATCCTTAGCTCTACTTAAACTCATCTTAACCTGAGAAGCCTCTATGATACTACAAGACAAGAACCATCATCAAAACAGAGACTTTATAATATCTTCATACATTACAGTCTGTATCATTCAGTATAGAGAAGTTCTTCAAAAACCCACAAAGACCCATGTCACTAAAACCAGACAAATCTCGAAAGTTCGAATCTTTGGTCGGATTTGATTCTAAAGTATCAAACTTTGATTGAGAGTTATCAAATCTTGATTCCAATAAGAAGAAAAGCTTACCTGAATTAAGATTCCGGTGACGGACGTTGGTCGGCGATCTCCGACTTCAATGGAACCGGGAGGGTTCTGATAACCCTCTAGCTTGCTTAGAAGCTTTAAGTGTTAGTTATGTATGCGTCTTTATATTATAATGCGCGCAAGGTGTTCGATAAAATGCCGCAAAGAGATTGTGGTTAAGAAAAAAGTCTGATTAATAATTTCAATAAACATGTTTAATATTCATAATCTCATTCCAAGAAGCAGAACAATAATAATAATAATAATAATAATAATAATAAAAGAATAAATGTAATTATTGAATCATGAATTCAATAGAAACTAGTCTCCATGAGTTTAACAAACCCATTAAAATCGATTCTTCCATCTTTGTTACCATCTAATGACCTAATCATTACAAAACACTTGTCTAAGTAAGACTCTTCTTTAAACCCTAAGATTCTCAAAACCCTTTGCAACTCTGTTGCATCAATGAACCCATCTCTGTTTTCATCAAACACATCAAAAGCTTGCTTCACTTCATCCAAACTCGCTTCTTTCTCTTCGAACAAACTCGAAACTTGCGTAACACTGTACCGTTCTTGAAGCTCACCATCATTATTAGAGAAAAGCCCTAAACTTCTCATAACCATCTCTGCATCTTCTTTACATAGATCATCATCTTCTTGTTTGATCATCAAACTCTCTTGTTGTTGGTGTTTATTGTTCTCTTTGTCGATACTACTTTGATGATGATGTTGAAGAAGAGGGAAGAATCTAGATAAACTGATGCGTGTAGAAGAAACCCATCTGCAGAAACTTATGAGGAACAAGTTGAACAGAGCAAACAAAGGAAGAGAAGAAGAAGAAGATCCCAACAAGAAACTCTTGGACTCCATGGTTACGTTACTTAAGTCTTAAGGTGTGTATCAATGAATGAATAAAGCTTCTTAGAGGAGATATAGAATCTGTGTGTATATGTTAAGATATATATACAAGATTTTGAGATTTGTAAGTGTTGGTTCAAGGAAGGTGATAAGGTTTAAGTAGAAGACAAAGACAAAGTCATTGTTTGAAAAGGAAAAGGAGATAGGAAGGTTCTTTAAACATTGTTGGAATTGTTAGGATAGTTTTGGTCTTATTTGGAGGAAAAGAATTGGTCGGTTTGACTTGATTTTATTTATTTTGTATTTTTTTTTCATTGGTTTGATATATAATTTTGTTAAGTAATCTATACTTTTTTTTTTGTATAGTTAGAATTCAAATATGATATTAATTAATATGAAGACTAGAGAGAGACTGAAGACTTTGAATGACTGAGACTTTTTCTTTGAATCTACTACATTTTATTCAATCCTAATTTGACTGGGAATCTAATTTATGTAATAGTTATTATTTCAATCATGTTTTATGTTGGTGTGTTTGTTTTTTTAGTTTGCTTTTTTGTTAAAATATTTCTTCTGAATCTAACTAATCCAATATTTTAAAAATATGTTTTGAATCTATGTCTTCTATATGAATTTTAAAATTATTATCAAAAATCAAATTTTCATTTTTTTTAATTTGTGTAAAAATTTTTAAAATCTCATTAATTAGAATTTAGGGATAGAAAAAGTATACTTTAAATATATATATATATATATATATAATCGTATCTAATTATTGTAATTCTTAGTAACAAACTTTGTTTATAAATTTAGCACATCATCTCTAAAGTTCCAAAATAGCACCATATTTTACAATGAAACTTTTAAAATTAAATCATAAACTTTTAACGTTGAACTCTACCCCAAGACTGTATCCTAAATGTAAAATAGTCAATCTAAACTTTAAATATTCCACTCGACTATTCATTCGTTTGTTGTCTCCAGATGGATGCACTGCTACCTTGTCGTGGCTTTTCGGTGTTGGAGACGATCTTCAGGTTGAATCATAATTTAGCTCTCGTTCGACAAGAGATCGGAAAGTATGACCGGAAAAGTGGGGTTGTCTCCTTGCTTCTCACTGAGAAGGAGACTGAGCTTAGCTCCTCTCTGGCAGAGAAGGAGAAGGAGGCCAAAGACCTGATCAAATGTCTTGGGCTCAACACCGTGCATGCTAATCTGGCTGAGAAGTACAAGAAATGTGATCATGAAGAAAAAGAAGCTTTTGATGAAGAAGGAGCTTCTCTTTCTGCTTCTGATCCATGCAAGACTGCTTCCAGGTCACACAACTGTTCTCCTTGCAAGCTCTACCAAGGGTGGCAAAAGAAAGCATAAGTGGAAGCCTGCTCACACAGTTGCCTACAACGCGGTGGTGAACGATCCGGCGAATAAGGGGTTAAAGCCTCAATAGGTTTCTGACTTGATTAGTGAGCAGAATCCTGAATTGGATAAAACTGACAATCATATGGTAACAAACCACATCAAGAATAAGAAGAAGAAGGCAAGAGAGCAAGATGAAGCAGCAGGAGAGGATTGAAGAGGTATCAAGGCAGAGCATTTTTAGTTTTTAAACTTTCTTCTGTAATTAAGGCTTGAAATTGCCATTAGACTCTATTAAGACAAAAAAAAACCTGAAATATTTTAAAATATTATAATTGTGACAATTAGTGTTATTTTTGGACATTTATGGAATATGTGCTATAGTTGTGCATAAAACTTGTTTTAGTATTATTTTAGGGTAATTCATTGTAATATGATTTATTTTTACATAGTCTAGGACATAATTCTGTATGTTATGTCCATAAAATCCGTATGACATTTGTAATCTTTTCTTAGGGCCATATCAATACATATCATTTTCATGAAATGTTTGTTGTCATGATCTCATATGTTCTTCTCTACTCTTTTATCAATTCTATTTGGACATATTTTAACATTATTGCAGAACTGAATCATCCCACCCCCTCTAAATAATGATCTTCTAATGTGTACATCATATTTATTCTCAAGCTCGTTCGTCAAGAAACCATATATACTTAATTTTGAAAGTGTGGAATGTGAGTTTACACTCAAGTTTTCGCAGATCAATGGAGGCAGTGTGCAAGATCATTTTTGACTCTGCAAACAATAAACTAGTCACTCTATCTATCTTAGGCTCGTGCCCATTCCAGTCACCCTAATAGATTGATCACACCTAAAAATTTGGTTCAAATACTACAAGAAGCCAAACACCCATACTTCTCTGTGGAGATAGAAATTAACACACCGTGAAGCCTTGACGAATCAGTTCTGTTGGGCCACAGTGAGGGTTGGTCATACTCATCGGTTAAAAATGCTACATTGCACCTTTGTCTTGTTTCGTTACCATAAGTACTCTCTATTTTCACACCTATTGCAAAATCTTAAGCCATATCATCTTGATTCTTCTAGGAACTGTGGCAGCTATCACAAGTGGAGATGCATCCAACAATACCCGGTTCAATACTCGTTAGTGTGGTCTTGCTGTTGCACCCGAACGCCACAAGTGTGTTGTCTTCGCTGATGGAAAAGGGTGTTCCCGTGAAATTTAAAACCTCTTCCAAGTTGTGCCCATTGCCACCTAAACACCCCATGGAAGAAATATTGGCTTTGATACGGATCCAATCATAAGGATATGACCCGTTATTTACTGGTTTCATAAGGTCGATTCGCACAAACTTCTTTTTGGATCGCAGTCAGAAACGGGACAGATGAAGAATGGATGCATTGGATATCATACTAGTCGTTGAGGTAGCAATCTTTTCCGGTGCGAAAAGGGTATGGTATCAAGATATTCCCACAGTAGCTCGGACAGCAACTCGAGATCGTTAGCTCTAGTGCAGAACTAGTAGTCACCACGAGTAGAAGAACACACAAATGAATCCAGAAAACACACCTCATTTTCTTTTTGTTTTTTGCTTTTCTGTTTCGCTTGTTCGTTCCTTCTATACATCTCTTCCTCTATACGTGATGTGTTGATTAGCACAAATAATAACACAGCGACAAGAGAAAAGTGATGTCTTTGATTAGCGTTGTGGCCATAGTGAGAAACAAATGTGTTTGGAATTCTCGTTTTCACTTGTTTCAAAACATTATTTATTTATGATAGATGGTTTTGAAAGCTATAAGTAGTTACTAAATTAAGAAAATTTGATGACCTTGAATGAATGTTAAAATTTAGTGGTAGTAGTTTTTTTGGAATATCAATTTACTAGAGGTAATGAGGGTAACACTGCACTCCTCAATATGTTTTTGTTTGGTTTTAATGCATTACAATGTAATTAAAAAAAAAGAATTGAGTTCGTATTTGAAACGCTATATTACATGGGGAGTGAGACTAATACAGACAGACCAACTATTATTAGTACTTGACCAAGTACCAAAGAATGTGCCTTACACCCAGGGGCGGACCCACAGCCATGGTGGTGGGGGCAGCTGCCACCAAAAAAAAAAAAAAAAAAATTATTAAAAAATTATTAAAAAATTATTAAAAAATTATTAAATATTATTAGAAAACAAAATCTGTCCCCACAAAAAATACTACTTTACTTACTAATCTAGACCTAATTTTTTGTTATTTTCTTTTTCTTTAGTCCTTTGGTTTCTTTGTGTGACAACAAATCAACAAATATCAATTTGTGAGTTTATTTTCCTGCTTTTTTTACAATCGTTTCTATTATATAAGCATTATTTTTTAGTCAGTTAATTTTATTTAATCAGTTCAAGCTTATAACTATGTTTCCTCCAAAACATTATATAGGTTTTTATGTTATACATGACTATATTAGTTTTTGCAGTGACAATTGTTTATATGTTTATTATATGGTTAAGCTTTTATGGAAGTTTGTTACATAATTCAAAAATATAAAATTAATAAATTTTAAAATATAAGTCTATAAATTCAAAATTTTCTAAATTTTTAATTAAGAACATGTTTTTTTTTTTTAATTATTTGAAGCTGTCACAAATGAAAATGTGGTAAAAAGGTTTCAATTGTTAAATGAGCGTCGAGTGGTTTTGTAAGATGTTTTAAAGTTTTTACATGACAATTTTATGTTCTTTTATAATTTAGTATTTGATAGTTTTTTTACTATATTTTTGCCCCCATTGAAAAAAATTTCTAGATCCGCCCCTGCTTACACCTATAGTTTCACCAGGTAGAGGCCTAGGCCTAAAACAATCCTTTGTATATTTTTACCGATATATTATCCACAATCCTATTACTATATAGGAATAATTGGAGTTTTAGTACATTTTGAGAAAGAAATTAGAAAAATAGTACTAAAGACTATTTACAATTAGAGAAATAGTCAATGATTACTATTAGACACTATTTGAATAACTCTCAAACCCTTAATTGAATGTTGTAATTACAAGCATGCCATTAATGTTATAATAATTTGAAATTTAATTATTTGCATAGCAATAGTTACATAATATGATATGTACGTTTATTATAGTGTACATATACACATACATATACACAATTTTAATTTCTACACTCATATTTACTGTATATTATATGGGTTATACGAATAAAATAAGTATATATGTACAGAATAAAACCATTGTACAATTAAAATATTTGTACAGAGACGTACAACCGTACAGAATAATGTATGTAAAAGTACAATTGTACATATATAAACCTCTGTTCATCAGTATTTCTGTACAAAAATATGATATAAACCTCTAGACAGCAGTATTTTTGTACGGGCACATCTTTATGTACAGACATACAATTGTACGAATCATAATTTGTATAAAATATTTTTGAAATTATTAAACAAAATGCATATCAAACTATAGAGAAAAAATGATAGATTTTTATGTTTATGAATTTTTTGTAAAAAAAATTCATGTAAGTAGTACTTTAGTTACTGCCTATTTTGTTTCCAAAATGTACTAAACCACAAATTTTCCCTACTATATATTGTATAAAACATGAAATATCAGTTTTTTTTTATAAAAGCAAAATAATTACTTTTCCATTGTATACATAGATGTTTTGATGATATTAAGAGTAATAGTAAGAGATTTAAAATATTTTTGTTTTGTCGGATTAATTT